GAAACAAAAAATATGAGAATATATCTATATATACATACAGTATATATACACATACATACATACATAGATTCGGGTGTGCCTCCCACTGGCCCTGCCGGCGGCGCCCAGGGCACATGCCCCCCCTAGCTTCAGCACTGCCCCCAACCACCCCCATGCCTCCCCTTCCCCCACACTGAGCCACTATTACCTGGCTTCTCCCCACTTTTTCTATGTCCCGCAGCCTGCTCAGTCCGCGTACGGACGGGATTCCCCGCCTCCTGGAGAGCCTGCACTCTGAGAGCCGCGCATTCTTTGTGACAGTCGCTGCTTGAGTCAGTGAGAAGCAGCCCCGAATCCTCCGTGACACTTCCAGTGGTACCAGTGGTCCGTGAAAATTTTTTCACGGACCACTGGTTGGCAGCCACTGTCCTAGATCACATAAAGTGACACTAAACCCGGGAGTTAAACGTTAAAAATGCATTCAAGTACCCCAAGTATTAACAAAAATGTATCTTATTTGTGCATCACTCAGCTGTAGCTTCTCAAATCATCTCTGAATTGGTGTGGACCCTGTCCTTCCTTCTGGAGGGTGGATAATTTAATTCCCTCTGGTCCATGTGTGTGTTGTAAAGTAGCCACCACTCCAAGCTCAATTTCCATTGAATCATTTTTCTATTATTGGCCAAACATAGAAATAACAAGAATACGGAGCAGCTGTAACCATACAAAAAAAGACTGGTTTACAGTGAGTAACCATAAGAGTAGGAGATCAGTGAGGGAGGCCACTAAGACCTCTTTGAAGTAGTCACAGGCCTTAGCGGTTAAAATTTGTCAAGACTATCCATTCAAATATGTTACCTGGATGCTTCACCAGTTGCAGCTTTATGGGTGGCACTGAGCACTGGGTGTGCAGGTTCAATTCATGGGAGGTCCTGCAAACTCTTCAAAAAGTCCGCAAATTTAAAACTTTAATGTGAACCCTATTAAAGTCAATAGGAAGCACATTTTACAATGCACAATTCCTTTAAATAACATGATTGGGGATACCCTAAACCTGACTGTGAAGTGTACACCTGTAGGATGTACTACAGCAAAGGTTCAGGAATTGGGTGGTATATTGTACATTAATTAAATTCACCCCAATCTGTGCATTAATTGCACATTGCAAGCTATTCTCAACAATAGAAGCTGCCTATATATATACCTGCTCCAAAGAAACAACTAGGAAGGAAAGAAATATATTTTTAGGTACGCCGTATATCTCTACTCTATCGTCCCACAGCGTCTGAGGCAGTAGAGCGGGGGGAATGGATGTTTGCTGCTGATAGTGCAGGGGGTTGCTGCTGATAGTGCTCTGGGGGTGCATTTCGGCAGATGCAGTGGGACGGGCAGTTGTGTTAGAGTCGTGTTGTCAGCGGTTTTCTGTCCCCTCCCGCCCAGCTCATTGGTTGCCAGGAGCTTGGCGGGACGGCAGCCAGAGCATCCCGCTCAGCTTCCTGGCAACCAATGATGTCAGTGAGCTGGGCAGGAAGCCGGACAGAGCATCACAGGTTGCTAAGAACTCTTAGGGCTAGTTCACACCAGCCACAGTGCATTCTGACCCAATTGGATCACATTGCGGCCAGCTCACTTTGCTGTGGGGCGGGAGGGGGCGTGGCATTGAAGTGAATGGCACCACAGCCACACCCTCCAGCCACAATGTGATTGGCCGCAAGGGAACGCGTGGCACACAACCTGGGACGCTGTGGCTGCCTCAGGACCTTGCTGTATGAATGTGACTACATAACAAACATATAGGTGTGGTTTCTCAAATTTGACTGCAAATGTGGAAATACATTTTTTTAGCTAAACCCACATAAAAACATGAAGTAACAGCTGAAATACATAAATGTGGACTGTTGTTCCTGCTAAATTACTATTCTGTTGTGTAACTCTTGTGGTTCACAAAGGTCTGTCACAATCATGGTCAGGGTGACACCACCTTTAATTAATAATGCAGTTTTCTTAATAATGTGCGTAAGAGTAGGAAAGGTAGACAATATTCTGTATCCATCTAGGGAAGGTATTCAATATTCTGCATCCACCTAGTAATGTTCTTTGTGTAGATCCAAACAAATCAGGCTTGATGATTTAGAAAGTGAGATTTAAAAAAATGGAAAAAGCTACGCTAGTGCCTATCCTCCTCATTTACAGCATACAGAAGGCTGTGAAACAACCTAGGTTAAAGTAAAACTGCAGAGAGATCAATGCTTTCACATAGAGAGCAAGGGTTCTTTAATTTCAGCTTGCTGGCAGGGGATAGGCTTTTCTATTTTGTGACTGCAGTAGCTTTCTAAACAAAATGAACTGTACAGCTTTAAACACCTTTTGTTCTCCTGCCCCCTGAATATTTATAGCATGTATTTAGTTCGATTGGTCTTTAACCCTTTTCCTGCCAGCCATGTCACTGGCTTTCAACCTTCTGCTATAAGCTCATAGTCGCTTCAGCGACCATGAACTTATAATAGAAGGCAATACAGATTTCACCAGCACACCAGGATAAAGTTTCAATACCAGACAAGCACTTTCGGGGCCACACAGATAACAGCAAGGTCCCCTTCCAATCCCCCGCAAAGGCAGTGGAGATTATAGAGATTATAGAGATTAGAAGTGACACTGCGGTGGGTTGTTAGCAGAGGAGAGAGCTGTGATAGGTAGACTTGTGCGCCATCAGAAAATTTGTTTCGTTTCGGAATATCCGTTATTTCGTAATTCGTGTCCGAAACTCAATTCGGATTCGTACGAAATACGATTTTTCGTTAGTTTCGTCACAGATTTTTAACATAAGTTGCTTATTTACAGTTTTGCATTCCTTTATTTTTTTTACCAGTTTGTATAAAGGCACAATTTAAAAATATTTGTTATCTATTAACTCACTTCAGTTTAATCTTTTAGATTTAGTGGGAAAAGTGTTTTTTTTTGTGTGCACTGATATTGATTTCAGTGGGCTTTTATTGATTGAAATGTGCATTTTTATCAGTTTAATATTGAGTTAATAAACATTTGTAAAATTATCGCAGGGCCTACAAAATTAGTAGCAGCATCTTTTTATTCTACAGGCCCTTTGCTATAAGGAATTGTATGGTTTGTGTGGTCTTTTACAAACCCTAAAAGCAGCAGTTGAAAATAAAAAAAGGTGAACACTTGCAAAAATTGAGGTTAAAAGTGGAATGCAGAGCTTTGCAGCGAAAGGGTTAATGGTTGTTTAATGAGTACATAACTGCATTAATTGGTGTGTTTTTTTAATCTATAGCTTAACATTTTACCTTTATAAAATACACCATACTGTATCGTATCCTAGAAATAAACACTGGCATCTAATTTGCTACCTTTCTGTCTACAGCATTGTGTTTGCTACTAAATAACAGGTGTACATTCCAAATTAAATTCACAAGAATAGTTGATAACCAAGGGGGAAAGAAAATGAAAGGAACTGTTGCTTGAAGACTTTTAAAGATCAGTTTAGCTGCACAGCCACTGAATAGGCTGCCTGTGATAGCTCAGTGTTTTCAGAGCTAATAATAATTAAGAAAAAATTTAGTAATGCCTTTTAACTCATGACCTAAGATTCCACTGACAAAACTGACTTCCACCCAGATGACCGTGATTTGAAGTAGTGGAAAAAATGTTCATGCATACCATGACTGGCATTATGTTTATACTGCTTCATAGTTGGCAGACTCTGGTATGATGTAACAAGCCATTTTAAGAGGCAAAAACTAGAGAAATACCTTTTCAAAGAAAATGTATTTATAGCTTTTCTTGGATGTAAATTCTAATCAGTATAATTAAAGGAAATATTTTGTTTTAGTATGCATTTTAAGTAGTATTATCTGTATTATATTAGACAGCTGTGCATCTCCCGATTTACATTCTGATTCTTCCAGCATTACACGCAATTGCAGGGCAAAGTTAAAGGTTTGCTAGACAGCAGGCAAGATAAGAAGCCTAGACTTTCCTTAAACTTGCTGCACTGCCCAAGACCTGAGATATACCTGGTACTTCCAGATATGGGGAGACATGTGAATTTTTCCCTTGCCTCCCACCATGTAGCATACAGAGCCAAAGCGGACAAATACTATGCTTAAGCGCTGTCACTTGGAAGCAGGAAGGGGGTCATCATGAATGCAGCTGCCAGACTCATTCACCTTACCAACCGCTCAGTGTCTGCATCCCCCCTCTGCCAATCCCTGCACTGGCTTCCACTCGCCCAGAGGATAAAATTCAAAATATTAACAGTCACCTATAAAGCCATCCACAACTCCGCCCCCGGATATATCTCAGACCTTGTCTCAAAGTATCACCCTAACCGTCCCCTCCGCTCATCCATTGACCTCCTGCTTTCCAGCTCCCTTGTCCACTCCTCCCATACTCGCCTCCAGGACTTCTCTAGAGTCTCTCCCATCCTCTGGAACTCTTTACCCCAACCTGTCCGTCTATCTCCCACCTTGACTGCCTTTAGGCGTTCCCTAAAGACTCATCTCTTCAGGGAAGCCTATCCCACCTCAACCTAACCACTGAACCTTCACATTCTCACATAATTCATTCCCACAGCTACCTCATGTATCATTTCCCCCTCCTCTTTTAGATTGTAAGCCCTCAGGGGCAGGGCCCTCCTTACCATCTTGTCTTGAATTGTATTGTAACTGTAATGTCTTCCTTATATTGTAAAGCGCTGCGCAAACTGTTGGCGCTATATAAATACTATGTAATAATAATAATAATAATCAGCCCTTTGTAAGCTCTAACCCAAGGGCCTTCTCACAAATTGATCTTTGGTACGTTAGTGCTGCTGTTTTCCAGAGGATGCGGGTTGTCTCCATTCTGCCTAGGGGGATCTCTGACCATGCTCCACTCCTGTTCAGTATTGAGACCTCTTCGGTGCCCTCTGATCGCTTGTGGAGACTAGTAGTTTGGCTTTCAGATGAGCGAGTGGAGCCACTAATTACTACTGCCATCCATGATTTTTGGTCCTTGAACAGCCTCCCCTGCTGTGGTGTGGGACTCATCAACTTCTCCTGATCCCACTATGTACTCGGATATGCTGTGGGCGTCCCGGAATCCCATATTACTGAACACGTCTGCTACCCAGAAGTGTCTGCTATATCAGTCTCAACGTGTGTTTGAGGAGGGTGAGAGGAATGGCAGGATTTTGGCCTGGTTGGTGAGAGAACATGGGAGCATGCCAATGTGGCTCGAATGGTGGATCCCGCTGGGACTGTTTTGACTGACCCCTAAGTCAAAACAGTAAAGTAGTATTACTGCATGCTTCGGTTTGTTTTACGAGTTGTATGCCTTCAAGGTGACCTATTCTGACTTGGACCCGTCTGTATCTGAACTCTGTTAACTTCCCGACGCTTCCCTCAGCATCTCGGGATTGGTTGGATGAACCTTTCACTGCGGAGGAGCTGCAGGCTGCAATGTCTTCCCTAAAAGCTGGCAAGACGCCTGGCCTGGATGGATTCCCAGTTGAGTTTTATAAAACCCATGTAGAGGGAATTGCTCCACGCTTACTTAACACTCTGCTGGAGGCCTTGAGGGCAGGTGCTCTTCCCTCCTCAATGATGGAGGCTATTATTGTAGTAGTGCCCAAGCCTGGTAAGGATCCTGATCAGTGCTCTTCTTACCACCCAATCTCGCTGTGAATGTGGATGTGAAAATCCTGACCCGAATGATTGGCTACGCTATTAAACTCGGTCATCGCTTTGTGATTAATTGTGATCAAACTGGTTTTATGCCCGGTAGGGGTACGCATATTAACTTGCAACAACTGCTTACTAATGTGGATAAGATGCGTGGTACTGTGGGCTCTGAAGCAATAGCCTCTTTGGATGCTGAGAAAGCCTCTGTTGAATTGCATTTCTTGTTTGCGGTCCTACGTAGGTTTGGTCTTGGACCTAATTTTGTTGCCTGGGTTCGGCTATTATATTCTCAACTGACCGTGAGGGTACGTATAAATAATATTCTATCTTGACCCTTTGGCCTGTGCCGGGGCAAGAGAAAGGGGTGTCCTTGTCCTCTCTTGCTTGGCCTTTTTGCACTGGCATTGGAGCTCCTAGCTATTTTGCTCCACGCTTCAGCGCAGGTCAGGGGTATTCCGGCAAGGAATCCTGAAAAAAAACTCTCCCTTTACACGGAGGGCACTTTGCTTTATCTGGGTAATGTTGGTCCGTCCCCCATCTTCTGCTCTAGAGACTAGCAATCGTTTTGGCTCCTGTTCTGGACTCTGGATTAACTGGGGAAAATCCCTACCCTTTCTGCTCGGACCCTCCTATCCCCAGCTTCCCCCCTCCTTAGAGTTTCCATGTTATAAGTATTTGGGCTTGGTGGTACACAATGACCCTTCTCAATAATTGGAGGATAATATATACTTCATCCTTTCTCGTGTTTCTCCCTGAATTTTCATTTTTTTCGTAATACCCCCGTGCTCATCCCTAACTCCTTCATTGCAAACTAGATGGAATTCTTTCCACCTTTATATGGGCTGGTTGGTGTCCCCGGGTCTCCATGGTGGTTCAGCATCTTCCCCTTTATGAAGGAGGGCTATGCCTACCCTGCTTTCAAACTTATTACTGGGCTGTGGTATTAGTAACGGTACGGTGGTAGTTTTCTCAAGATCCGAATATATTGGCGGTGACCCTTTTGGGCTCCTATGCAGGACTCCGTAATTTGGTGTTTCGGGGTCTAGACTCTAACATTGCCGTCACCAAGCTAATGCGTACCATGTTGGCTGTGTGGATTAGGGCGCGAGGGAGGCTGGTTAAGCTTGATCATATTTACCATTATGGGATAATCCGCATTTATAGCATTTTCGTTCGTTTCTTGATCCCCAGGTTTGGGCCCGCTATGGTATAAAGATTGTCAAACATATTATGCTGAGAGGGGTGTTGCTGGGATTTGATAGACTCCGGACTTAATATGGCATATCCCGTCATGTTTTTTTAGATATTTGCAACTGTGACTCAGTGTCAGTTTCCTACACCGAGTGACTGTTTAATCTGACTGTACTGACCTCTTCTTGATGAGGGATAGGTTTTATAACCCTCTCGTTGCTCTACTTTTGCTTCACATGTGTTGACTGCCCCACATTGCCTCACTTGTTTGAAAAATGGAAGGCTGATATTCCCTAACTGTCAAAAGAAGGTTTGGAGGCCTGTGTGCAGATGTATATGACTACAGTCATCTCTCCTATGGAGAGATTCCTTCAGGTGAAATTTTTGCACATATACTATACTCTTTCCAGACTAGCAACTATGCATTGTTCTGTGGATGCTCATTGTTATAGGTGTAAAACGGAATATACATATGGTGTGGTCCTGTTGGTTGCTTGGTCTAGCCATCACAATTTGTTCCTTTTCAAAGTCGCTCAAATCCTTATGCTTGCCCATTTTTTTTTGCTTCCAACACATCAACTTCAGGGGCAAAATGTTCACTTGTTGCCGCCTAATGCATCGCATCCACCCATCCACTTCCAGGTGCCATTGTAATGAGATACAGTTATTAATTATTCATTAGTTATTCATTTCAACTCTCAGTGATCATAATGTTTACTGTAATTTATGTTTAGTAGCCTTTAAGCTCAAACTGACAGAAGCTAAATAGAACCATTCTGTTTCACTCTTAATAAACAAAGTACTGGAGGGAAGGGATGTTATCTTGCATTTCTTTTGTCAGTCAGAAAGCTATTGGAAAGACATTTATCATGTAAAGTTTGGAGACTTCTTATCTCAAGACTCATGCAAGGCCTTTATTAATGGATAATAGGGCTATTAACCGTCACTTGAAAATATGGGAATGTTTCCTAGTGATTAAAATGGTTTTTGTTTTGATCAGCCCTCCTTTCATCAGGTTATGGATAAAAGGCTTAACAGTAGATAGTAACATAGTAACATTACAGCAAATTAAGCTCAAGACAGACTTCACAGCTATTTAGTGTTGGTTTAAAGCTGGCTAAAATAGCGGTTTGAATTGATTGATGTGTGGATGTGTCTGTTTCATAGCAAGTTAGGCTGCTTTGAGCTTTCAGAATTTCTGTGCTTGGAATGAAGTAGGGCAAGTTTGAGTGCGGTTCCCCTCATCTCTGTCACATTTGTAACAACAGTCTTGGCTTCTCCTATACAGGGCAAAAGGTACTGTATCAAGCGCCAGCTAGTGTTTTTTCAACTGAAGCTTAGCTAAAAGCAAAGCTCTTATAACATTATGGAAAGGATTGTGGCAGAGTAGAACTCCCCACAAGGGTCCGAAGCAGCAGTTACAACCCAGCAGGAGATAACACCCTGCTCATTCTACCCAAAATAGAAAAGTCTCTCTTTAAAGTAAAGCTGAACATGCATGTAGGGATATGATTGTTTAATTTTGAAAGATCAATCCCACAAGAGAGTTTTTGAAATTTAGACAACCATGACTAACAACATATCATGTAACGTCCAGCCTTGTCCTATTGCATAATGTACCATGTGCTGCAGCACTGGCTGCTGAAGAATTTCATAGGTCACTGATTATGGTGGACTGCTAATGGCTATTCATTATTCCATTAAATGTTTGCCAACAAAGTTCATATTCTGCAATCATTGTTTCCTCTGTATGACAGACTACTAGCTGGTATTTGTAGATATGCAGGCAGTTCATTTAGTAGGAATAAAAATCTGGAATTAACACTTTTCATCTAAATTGTAAATGTAATGAGAGAAGAAAGGCTTGTGAGCTGTTAAAAGGCAATGAGGGCTACAGCCAGTTTTGCAGCAGTTGCAATTTCCACTAGGTATCTGATCCTGGGTTGTCGGTAAGACCCTGCTTTCAGATTGCCACATATGCTGTTTGTTACTAGTGATGGCCCGAGTTCGGTTCGAATTTGCACTTTAGAACATCCAAAAAGTTTGAATTCGAACTCAATGCAAGTCTACGGGGGTAGAACTTTCAAAAACATAACAAGTGTATGGGGATCTGGGTACTGCCCTGGGGGACAGGAATCAATGGAAAAAAAACTTTAAAAAAAATAGAGTTTTTAAAGGAGCTGTGATTTTAACATTGCTTAAAGGGTAACAATAAAAAGGGAAAATTCCTTTAAATATTGTGCCTGGGGGGGTCCCCTAACCTGCGTGTTAAGTGGCACATCTGTACAATGTATAGAACCTTAAGGTCTGGTAGGAATATTTAGGAGGGACCCCATGTAAAAAAAAAAAAAAGTGTGTGGGGTTCCCCCTCAAAGTCATACCAGACCTTCAAGGTCTGGTAAGAATTCTGAGGAACCCAACCCCCCCAAAATGTGGGAAAAAAGTGGGGTCCCCCCTTCAGGGTTGCCCCTGGAAAAGCACCTTGACCCTGTGCCGATGGGGACAAGGGGTTCTTCCCCACAAGCCCAGGGTTGTTGGTTGTGGGGGTGCGGGCAGGGGGCTTTTTTACATCAGTACATGATGTAATAAATTCATGTAATAAATACATGAATGAGTAAGGGGTACTTGTAATCCTACCCATTCAATAAAGGGTTAAATACAAATTTTACAAAGGAGGCCACACCTTTGAAAAAATACTTTATTTAAAAAATAAATTAAAAAAAAGACATGTATTTGACAAGGTGTTTTATTTTTAAAAAAGAAACCCAAAAAAATTGATCCACCGATGTAATCCAGCGTCAATCACGACGTCCATCGTTGTCCACGATGACGACGACTCGACGAAATAATAAAACAAAAAAAAATAAATAGATATAATAATTAAAAAAAAACAGACTACCACTGGCGACAAACACCCACTAGAGAACGGCATTTTGACAGATGCCAGTAACATATAAACATTTGGGCGGAGCTAGCTGTCAGTACTACTGTTTACAGTTGTAACAGGTGAGCCATGATTGGGCAGAGTCATCATGACTTTGCCCAATCATGGCTCTCACAGTTCTCTGTGCCCTGGCGAGGCAATGTTGCGTGCCACGGCGGTTACTGGGGACGAGCCCTCTGCTTCCTTTCCGCCCCCCCCCCTACAAGTGACAGAACGACAGGGCCCAGTCAATAATGTGACCTCTGCTTTCCTGGTAATTCTGCCAGTGATGTGTATGAAAATCATGTAGAAGACGTATGAAATACAGTAGGGTGACCCAGTTGTCTCCAAGAAAAAAATACACAGGGAATTGATCAAAACGGGAGCAGACAGAATCTGGAGCGGTTGTCCATAGTAACCAATCAGCTTCTCTCATTTTCAAAGCTTAACTGAACAAACTGAAGATAGAAGCTGATTGGTTGCCATGGGCAACTGCTCTGGATTCGTCAGCTCCAGTTGTGATAAATTCCCCCCACATTCTGTATGTACTTACTGTAAAATGAAGATGCTCCAGCAGTGCAGCCACCGACCTGAGGATGTTTGATGTCCACAGAGTGATGTGACTACTGGAAAAGAATCCTCCTCTGCTCCAGGCCCGCAATTCTAACGTCACCATCCGCCTTGGCCAGCAGACACGGCTGCTCTCATCATTCAAATCTCCCGACATTGTAGCCTAGGGCATGCCCACAACATCAGAAACCCCGCCCAGTGCTTCACGCAGCTCTCCCACACTCCACACTACAACACGGGCAGGCCACGCCCATACCCCTCTCTCACCTCACGGTGAAATGTCACTGGCTGTTCAGTCTGTCACTCAAGAGGACCTGTT